CATTGGAAGAGCTGTTTGCATTATTTTAAGTTGGGATGTACTGTACATTACTTTTGACTTTCTTGTCACTATTTTTATACAATTTAATATCTTGTTAACTTATAAATACAGTAGCATTAAAAGTAACAATGAAATCACCATTACGCTGTTTATATTTGAAGACTTTAATCATCATCAATTTTCAGTGCATTAATTGTGGTGTTCTGAATACAATTTCAATTTATATATTTGATTGTGATTGTGTTTATTTCATTGTAATTGTAATGCATTGTAATGTCGCAAATGCCTGCTGTCCACTACAGTGGGCATCTTTATGACTTTGAAAATATTACAGATAAAACTTCTTCTCTTTTTCCATGAAAAAAGAAAAGAGAGCAAATAAATTCGACTCATAATTCATGCATGAAAGAGTTAGTTCTTTTCACCTGGGAAGTAATAACACAGATATTCCAAGTTACCAAGTCGAGAGACGACAGGTTGTAGGCAGTGGTTTACTAAGAGAGGGGCTGAGTATGTTAGTATGTCCCCTTACTCTGTGGTGGGAGGACATTTCGCTCATAGTAGCCAGCGTTGGTGATATTTCCCGCTGGCCGGTACTGGGCCACCACAAACACCTTCCCCTTGCCGTCCGTCGCCATGCCAATGCCCATTTCCTGAGAGTCCTTCCAGACCACCTGAGTGAAGTGACCTGTGAGACAGAGAGCGCCAGCATCACCTCCTGAATCTGCACAGAGTCACAGAGGACCTGCTCCTTCTCTGTCTGTGGTTCCCATTCCTGATTTGGGCAGCAGTTGAGGAATCATCTGACTGCATGATGATACATTTGCATAAACTCATAAATCTCAACCTTGATTTCATCAATAAGTGTCTGTATGTGTGTGTGTGTGTGTGTGTGTGTGTGTGTTTGCATGCATGGCTCAGATTTGGGGACTATAATATCCCCAAAGTGTGATAAAATCTGAAACTTCCTTACTTTTAGGGACATTCTTCAGGTCCCCAAATGGACGAGCTCAACTTTACAAAAAAAATGACTGCAATTAATACATAAAAAATGCCAAAAGATCAGTGTTTGTTTGGTTAGTTAAGATTAAGACTTGGGCTGGGTAGGGGTTAAGGTTGACGTGATTGGGATTAGGGTATTTCCCCAAGAAATGAATGGAAAGGTCCTTATTTAGGGCGGTACGCTAACGTGTGTGTGTGTCTGTGTGTGTATGCGTGTGTGTGTGTGTGTGTGTCTGTGTGTGTCCGTGTGTGTGTGTGTGTCTGTGTGTGTCCGTGTGTGTGTGTGTCTGTGTGTGTGTGTATCTGTCCT